AAAAAGAGGATCAATTCTATGGTCTGAACCAAATTTTTAATATAAATACCAGTTTAAATTTAATTAATATCTTTTAGAATAATTATAAAAAGCATATAATATAATATTTGGTTTTTATATATTTGATGGTCTTTCCAAGTTAAATTTCAAGACTTAAATTAAGAGATGACCTTGGGACATTTTAAGGGCCCTGGAATGATTCAAGGATTTATTCTCTCTTCTTAAAAGAAATATTTTTTTTAAATATACTTTTATTGATTTCAGAGGGGAAAGGAGAGGGTTAGAGAGATAGAAACATCAATGATTAGAGAGAATCATTGATTGGCTGCCTCCTGCATGCCCCCCACTGGGGATCGAGCGTACAACCTAGGCATGTGCCCTTAGCCCGAATCGAACCTGGGACCCTTCAGTCTGCAGGCCGATGCTCTATCCACTGAGCCAAACCTGCGAGGGCAAGAAATATTTTTTAATTAGGCCAATTTAATATACTTGCTATCATGAAGGAAGCATTATCAAATAAAAATAACTATATTTTATTTATATATATATATATTTTAAATGTTATAAAGATTTCAATCTCTAAGGGAGGGCAAGACAAAATTGCCAAATATTTCTTAAGCAATACCAGGTTATTCAGAAATGGAATTTTAAAGCCCTCAGGCAGCCTGCTCATCAGATAGGTTGGGGGTAGGGCGACATGTGTACTTCATGGGTCAAATATATGTTTGCTTACTTTTTAAAAAAATATATATATTTTATTGATTCTTTATAGAGAGGAAGGGAGAAGGACAGAGTTAGAAACATTGATGAGAGAGAAACATTGATCAGCTGCCTCCTGCACACCTCCTATTTGGGATATGCCCGCAACCAAGCTACATGCCCTTCAACAGAATCGAGCCTGGGACCTTTCAGTCCACAGGCCGACCGTCTAGCCACTGAGCCAAACCAGTTAGGGACTTACTTTGCTTTTTCAATAAGATGCCTACTTTAATTACTTAATAAATTAGCTTTCTACAATATAATCAAGGTCTCATATAAATTCAGTTATATGTGAAGCCAGTATTTTTATAAGCAATTGGGTCTAACAAAGGCCAAAATAAAAATTTGCATATGTATGCAAATGAGCACTAGCCAAAAAGAATACTGTTTAAAAGTAAATTTTAAGCTTAATAAAAGGGAGAAATTTTAAAATCTCTTCTGCTACTATTTACATGGTAAACTAAAAGTTACTATTCAAGCATTAAAGCTGATCATTAATAAGTCACCATAAGTGAAAGAGAGTCACTTAAAATGTATGCAGGGCAGTATTGGCCAGCATCTGAAAGCAATTAAGTTTGTTGCTCATTTTAAAAGAAAGGAAAAAGTTTTTAAAGGAAACTCTTTAAATGTGGCTTGGAATTATTCTGGGAGAAAAAAAGCAAAAGGAGATTCCCTTTAAATATCTGGAAGACTGTGATTAAAAACCGATGTATTAGGTCTCAAAAAGAAAAGTAGATAATTTGCATTTTGCCTCCCTAACAAAGCTTGTGTTACTATGCTGAAAGACTGATAGCAGTAATTCAATCAGTGTCATTTACTGTCCACACTCAAGGCCAAGTAAAGTTAGAAAATAAGCCTTATTTCAGACAGATTTAAATTTGCCAATTGAAATAAGTGAATAACCAGGGGAACTTAGTTGTAAATGTCCTTACATGTTAACACAAAATAGGGGATATAGTGGAATAATCTTCTGTATGTAAATTACATCAAGGTTTAATTACTTTAACTTTTTTTACTTTAAAATTTTTTCACTTATAATGCTGATGGCAAGACACACAAGGTGTCAAAATAAGCCAAAGGAAAATGGTTTGGTAAAATGAAAAGATCCTGAGTTCAGTTTATGGAAGGGTCCCTTTATTAACTTGTGGTCAGGGATATGCTTATATATTTCCAGGAAACTTCTCCAAGCCCATGTGGATTCCTGCAACAATGGATCTGATGGAGGAACTGCTCCCCCTGTACCTGAGGCTGCAGACAGACAACTACTCCAACCACAGATAGCAGTGGCCCCAAGAAACACGCTGATGAGACAGAGGAGAAACATGCCAGAGATGGGGAATGGTAAAGACGTCTTGCCATGCTAGCAGTCATCAGCTGTGCATGGGTGTAGGTTGCCCTGGACCAAGCTAAAGAAGGTTGGACTTGGATTGCCGTTTCCCACCATTTGTCCACCATCCAGAACTGGAAGATAATTGTTGTCATGTCACAGGGGACAGTGATTGAGAAGGGAACCCATAAAAACTTGGACAGTGATTGGAAAGGGGACTCAAAGAACTGATGGCCCAAAAGGGAGCTTATTGCAAACTAGTTCCTTTGATGCCTGACAACAATTTTAAAAGGACATGATAGAACTCAATCGTTTTCATTGAATTTAAAAATCTTAAAAGGACCAGAGCTCTGCAAATGGCATTCATTCTTGTTAAGTTTATTAAAACAAAAAGGGAGATATGCTGGTGGATAAGAACAGCAGGTCATAATAAATGCAAGAAGTTCTCAGAAGGCTGATGGACTTCGATATTCAGCATGGCTGAAAAATCAGCATTATATTACCCTGCTGTAGGCCAAATGGCTGAAGGCAATCCCTTAAGCAGCAGTTCTCAACCTGTGGGTTGCGACCCCTTTGGGGGTCGATCGACCCTTTCACAGGGGTTGCCTAAATATATCCTGCATATCAGATATTTACATTAAAATTCATAACAGTAGAAAAATTACAGTTATGAAGTAGCAACGAAAACAATTTTATGCTTGGGGTTCACCACAACATGAGGAACTGTATTAAAGGGTCGCAGCATTAGGAAGGTTGAGAAACACTACCCTAAGCTGATAATTCTTTATTGTTTACCAAACCTTATCATTGATATCTGTTTGCTTTGGTAAAGGGCAAATGTACATTCTAGAAAATAAAAAGCCGTGGCTAGGGAGATTTGGGAAGCCCACTCCAAATCAAGTGTGAGGACTCCGCCTGCCTTGCCCCATGCCTTCTAAATTTATATTTCTTGTGTAGTGTATCCATTTATGTTGCAGCTCCTTCTTCAGATTCCTGAACCCTTGCTTAGAAAGGTTGCGGGAACTGGCTTCTGTCCCACTTACTCTGTCAGGATACTAAACTCTTGCAACCCACCTCCTCACCAGCCAACTAAGCATTCCCAGAAGTCTCTGGGCACATAACTCAATGCTGATATCTACCTTTTATTTCTCCTCAGTCCCACATCATCTAGTTATGATTCTGTTCCACAGACATCACTGCATCCACCAGGTTCCATCCCATCTTTTACTATAGTTCAACCACTGGAGCTTGGGAGATGCCAAGGCCGCATGGCTAGCTGCTGCAAAGTGGGAAAATAGGCTTTATTCCCCTTTCTGAGCAATGGTAAAGATGCTGCTGAGATGTGCCAATTGGCACAGTGTCTTTGGTTAAAGTGGTCTTTCTGTTTGTACTTATATTTCACACCTTCAGTTTCAAATATTAACTCAAGTGATGACTTGACTGGGAGACAAATAAGAGTGATAGACCCAAGACCAGATCAGAAATTTCCACTCCAGGGCCTACGTGTTCCTTTCATAGTCAAGCTTGAAATACCTCCATTCTTTTACCCATAGGATGGTTTTCTCTCCGGATGTGTTTCAATCTTCTAATGGCAGATGCAGAAGTTCAGTTTCCAGATATGCCCAATACATATATGAAAGGAGAATAAAAATTATATTCTTAACTTCTGGCACCAGGAAGCCTTAAGAGATGAAGCTGTCTTAGGGGAAAAACACCCTAATAAATGCCTGAAACAGATGGAAGCTGAGACCCAAAAGCCTGGGAGTTGGGTGTTACCAAGATACTTTGTTGCTAGTAGGTGTTTGTGAAGAGGACAGAAATGATGAGAGAGATGCCATGGGGAGATAGTGAGACAGAGTCCTAAAGAAAAAGGGTTTGAGATAAGCTGAAGGGAAAAGGGGATTGAGGAAGCGGAAAAGGAATTTTATAGAACAGAAAAGTCCCATAGTTGGTTTATAATTGATTACTATATGGTTCCTATATTCTTGTCAATTTGGGAGGGTTTTGAACTGTTGCAGAGGATGCATTAGAAAAGTATAGAGAGTTTAAGCCAATGTCACTCAGATTTTATGAAGTAAGAAGAGTTCCCAGATGACATTTGGGTTATATCTGGAAGAAAACCAGCTAAGTCTCAATCTGGGAATATTTCTAGATAGCTTTTTCCAAATTGTAGTACAATTGAGAGGCAAGAATCCTGCCAATGGAAACCATATGCAATTGAGGCAGTTAAGTTGCCAATATTTGGAGATGTTCTAGGAAGAATCTAGATTGGGTATGTAGTTTGCTATTCTTGGGAGAATATAATGTCTTGACAAATGAAAATTAAAGAAGAGTTAATTTTTGACTTGAGTTTTAAAGGAATAAATCATATTGTGTGGAAGAGAAACAAATAAGAAAAGTTATGCCATTGGATAAAGGTCCAGAAAGAACAGAGAGAAAGGAAGATGGTCAGACATTCTCTTGAGTAAATTTAGAAAAATTGATTAATTGAGACCTTAGCATGGAGAACCTTCAGGGTGGAGGCAATAAATTATTGTGGGGAAGCGATTTCTATTAATGTGTGAAGTGATTGGCAGTCATGAAAAGGATAAAATAAATGTAATGTATGGACACCATAATTTTGGCTCTCTTTTGTAGAATACACTGGGAGTAAACTCCAAAGATAGAGAAGCCTGAGGAGAGATGGGGAAGTCATGAGAAAATTTTGAACAACCTGGGGACTATAGAGAGGAAAAGATAGGAGTGGCATAGAATAGAGAAAGACTGGCTGTTTAGAGATGAATGGCTGTGGGAATGGAAGAGAACGAGGCTTGCTTGGGTTTGCTTGCATTTAAGGAACATTACTATCACATAGGATTGTGAAGAGTAGAGCTGGTTGTTGGTATTAGTTGCATCAATGCAAGCTCCCATTTGCTTAGGGTCTTGTTGTACATGGAGCCTCAGGCAGCTTTGGGCCACAGCAGCTTACCTTTAAAACCTTTTTCAACTTAGGGCTACTCAGCATTAGTGAAGTTAAATGAATAGAGACTGTAGCATAGATGATAGTTTCGCTGGCCCAGAACCAGTAACTCTCATGCGTTAGGTTATAGGTAGTGGAGATGATTATGGTCAAAAAGTAAGAGGTGAAGAAGATGAGGAAGAAGGCAAGAAACCTCAGGGCAGTGGCATGAGCTTTCATGCTGAAGTTGCTGTGGCCAGTGTCGTGATGTCGTATCTGCCTCAAGTGTTGGCACAACGAGGCTATGAGCAAGATGGTGGAGGTCAGGAACAGTAGGAAAGGAATGAACGACGTTGCCAGAAGCTGATGTACGTAATTTTTCTCCAGGAATGTCCTAAGTGTCTCAGTCTCTGTGTTGTTTCCAGGTAATTGCATCATGGATATTAACTGACTCTTGATGAAGACAACTCTAAGAGCTGAAACAATGATTGTCACACAGGAAATCATCAGAGA